CTCAGTGATGAAGTTGTAAAGCGCAATTACAACACTTAGCAACAGCAATCCCTACAATCCTAATTGTGGTGTTAGCTGAATCCCAGTCATCAGGTGAGGCAACTTCATGTTGACTTCCCACAACCAAGTGAGGAGTTACCTGAGAGACAAGGGTAGGGGAAAAAGGTTGGGAAGGGTCCGGGAGAGTGCAGAGGTGGTGCAGTAAGAGGTGTGTAGGAGGCACAGCAAGAGTTGGGGAGGCTGTGCGAGAAGCACAGCAAGAGGAAGCAGAACGAGGTTCAGAAAGGGTGTACTAGAGATGCAATGAAGCTCAGGGAGGATGTATGAGGGAGGCACATTTGAGGTTTGGGGCGGGTGCGCAGGTTCGGGAGACTAATCCCAGCAACTTGTGATTTTCCCTGCCAGCTTCCCCACTAACTTTCTGATTCATGTGAACTCAGGACGCTTATAAGCGTGAGCCGATTGCCAAGTGCCCAGATTGCTGGAATTCTGATTGAGGACTAGATGTAGCTATCATTTGTACCAGTGCTGTCTACTTTTGAATGGTTGCTGATTAAATGGTTGTAAGCCAAGGACTACCTATATATTTGTTTCGATGCAATGTTCGTTGGCTTCCTAGCAAAAAGCTACAAAAGCAGTTTTCAATAGTACTTACCTCAACCTGAGGTATGAGTATCTGTGTAAGTCCTTGGAAATCTCTCAAAACCACAAACTGTTCATGTCTAATGATGGGAGACACAGATGTGTAGACATGTCAATAACACTTCAGATTCAGCATGGAACTCATGAATATGCAGTGCAGAATTCTCCAAGAACATCTACTGTAAACAATGCCTAGTCACGGAACAGCTTTGAGCCTGGGGACAGCTCAACTAGACACTTTTATGTGACACATAAGTGTTTCACATGCAAGAAGACTTTGATAGTACGAACATTCAAAGATGTAGTATCTGAACATTACTTTTAACTTAAGAATTTGACCCTGGTCCTAAATTCATTTAAGTTCTTTCGTTCTCTTTCTCTCTTCCTCCCTCTCTCTCTCTCTCTGTGTGTGTGTGTGTATTTCAAATTTCTTAATCATCAACCACCCTTACAGATTTTTCTATAGGCATAAGAATTAGTATAAAGAAAACTATTTCTTAAGAATAGATCATTGCACATTGACATGGCAGTTCCATTTTCTATGCACATAGCAAAAATGGAGCAATATATTCTTGTACAATCAGACATACATGTCACATGGAAGTATATACACTTTGAAAGTTTTTTCTTTTGATACATTTGCGGACATACCAGTATTTTATTTTCATTCAAATGGTCACATAAAGATGATGAAATTGAACAAAAAATATAAGTTGACTTTCAATCATTTATCCAACAAAAACAAACAGATTTGTCATTTCCTTCTATGGAAAAAAATAAGTACACCCTTAATTCTAATAACTGGTTTTGTCCCTTGGCAGAAACAAGCACATGTAGGCCTTTCTCATAGCTATCTACCCTGTTTCTCCAACAATACGGCCTCCCCCAATAGGAAGTCCCAGCATGTTTTATAAGCATGAAATGAAATTAAGCCCCTCCCCCCAAATTAAGGCCTATATTAAAACATGCGAAATGGGGGAGAAATGGCAGGGGAGGGGCTTTCTGTTAGGAAGTACTTTTGTTGCGTACCCTGATATGGTGCTGCCTGCGTTGACCCTGATACAAAGTGCCCCACCAACGCCAAGGTCAACATCCAAGCTGTTGCTGCCCGCCCTAAGATGCAAGGGGGGGGGGGAATTAAGTCACCCCCGAAAAGACGGCCTAGCCGTTTTTTCGGGCTCAAAAAAAGAATAAGACCCGGCCTTATTATATGAGAAACACGGTACCAGTCTCTGACATTGACTGGAATCAACTCACAACATCTTGATGGAATTTATGTAGATCTTTTGACTTGACCATTTCAGAACCCTCCATTTCTTTTTTAACCAATCCTTGGTGGATTTACCAGAATGTTGGGGTCATTGTCATGTTGCAAAGCCCATTGTCCAATGAGCTTCAAACTTTTCACATTACACTTCAGTATCCTTTGGTACAATGAAGAATTTGTAGTAATTTCTATGATGGTGTGCTATCCAAAACAGCCCCAAACCATAACATTTCCACCACGGTGCTTTAAGGAGAGTGCACAAAAGGCACCCTGCAGATCAGGGAGGATGTACAGAGATGTGTGGCATGATCAGGGCGAGTGCATGAGAGATGCAGGCCAATGAAGGTGTCCAAAGGGTGTGTGTAAAAGATGTTGAGGAGGGTGTGAGCAGGTGCACAAAAAGTGTGTTGCAAGCTGAGAAGAGTGCACTGAGGTGTGCAAGAGGTGGAGTGCCAGTTGGAAAAGGTGCATGAGCAGCGTAGCGCCAGTCAGAAAGGGTGCATGAGAAGTGACACGTGGTCAGAAGGGCATGGTGCTGGTTGGGAAGGGTGCATGGGGGTGTGCAAGCAGTTGTTGCCATGCAAGGGAAGAAGGGCTGGGGGAGAGTGTGTAAGTGGGGGAAACTTATCCTAGGGACTTGTGACCCTCTCTGCTTTCCCCACTGACCTTCTAGGGAAGCCAGCAGAGAAAGTTGTAAATGGCAATCACATGATCACAGGGCACTTGGCAATCTGTTGTAGGTGCAAATAGGTTGTCAAGCACCTAGACTGCAACCATGTGACTGCAGCAGTATGAGGATGTCTGGAACACTGAAGACCAAATGTAACCACCATTTGTTCAGCACTGTCATAACTTGGAACAGTTGACCACTGTAGGTTAACATGTTTGTAAGTTTAGCACTACCTCTATGTGTTATGTGGAAACAGAAATAAGACACCAGACTATATTTGTATATCCCAGACCCTGATGTAGTAAGGCAAACCATTATTTTAATCTTTTCTTTAGCATCAGCAATTTTCAATTTACCTCTTATATTGAATCCATCCACACAGAGTGACCTCTTGACCTACATGAGCTGATCGCAACTCCCCGCAGGTTTTGGACCGGGCAACAAAGCTATTGACATCTTGGGATAAAATTTTGTTAATTCATAAAATGTACAAACAAATTTTTATTCAATCCAACAAAATTATTAGGACAAGTAATAAAGTTATGAGTTATCAATAAATATATCAAAGCTTCATTCAACAGATTTATATCATAATTAGGGATGGTGCATGAGAAATGCAGTGTAAGTCAGGGAGACAGGCATGAGGGAATGAGAGGTGTGGCAGAGGTTGAAAGCTCGCCCCTATTGGAAATGATATGAAAAACAAAGAAGTTCCAAAAAGTAGTACATGTTTTCATTCTTGATTATGTTAAGGTTTTTGACTATGTAGTTCAAAACACTTTGCAGCTAGCCCTGTAATGGGCTACTTCATTTGCCTATGGAACAATTTGTATACTGACCAGGAAGCAACAATTAGAATGTTTCAGAATTGACAAGAACATGAACAAGGCTTGTTAAACTAATATGCAGAAAATATCATGATAAATGAGGATGAGGAAAAATAGAAATATGAATTAAAAGTTTTGGGAGTAACATCAATATCACCGGAATCAAATGATGATACTGCTTTGTTGGCTGGAAATGAAGAAGATTTAAGATACCTTTAACCGAAATGAAAGAAGAGTGCAAAAGCCAGTCTACTGATCAATATTAAAACAACTGACTAAATATTATGTCAACAAGCAAGGTTAAGGCACCGCAAATAGGTGCAGAAAGAGTTGAAGTACTCAGAAATTCACAGGGAAGATGACTGTAGTTATGAAATAAAGACCTTTTTAGAATAAAGGCTATGACAAATCTAATAAAAATATTAAAGCACTGAGACAACACAGTGAAATGAAGGAAAATGTCAAGATATGCTTTTCCCAGTTATAACATAGCTGTGAAAGCCAGATTATCCAAAGAGCTGAATGAAATAAAAATAACTTGCTTTTGAATTACTGTGCTGGAGAAAAAGGTTATGGGTATTATTTTTGCAAGACAAAAATAACCAATAGAACCAGGCTCCTCACTGGAAATTGGTAATGAAACCAAACTTTAAATGTTGCAGACTCATAACATACAAGCAAGTGAAATGATGGAAAAAATGGAAGGCAATTTAAAAAGAGAGAGAGAAAAGAACCAGGGGCTTATATATTATTGTTGATGGCACAAGCACGAGCTTATAAAATTTCGAAGAGCAGTAACCAAAAAATGATGTTGAAATATTGATCATCTCATCAAAAAACCAGAGATTATGAACAACTTCATACCAATACCATAGTTTTCAACAGTCACTATACTGCAGTGGTCGGCTACCGCCATCTCCTGAGATTTGTGTGTTACTTCCCAATCTATAGATTTAGGATCGGTTGGGGATTGGAAACACATCCAAACCAGCAACGTAATTCCAGCAGAGGAGTCATGATGTTCTATTTAGGGAGGGAGGGAGAGCGTCCCTTGGTTTCGTTCAGGCCAGTCGGACATTAAGAAAGCAGCTTTTCTTCCCCTTCCCTGCTACCCCAGGATGTCACAGACCTGGGAGGGTCGCGCCCGTTCTGAACGACGCCCATCTGCAAGAAGCAAGCCTGCCCCACGGCTTCGCTCTTCCTCCGGGGAATAATAGCTTCAGGGGACGATAAAGGACATGTAGCCGACGCATGGTCTTGGCCAGTAAATCGAGACACCGGCCAATATATAAGACAAGAAGGGAAGAAACGACCAGGCTTCAGCCCACAAGCCCCGCTTCAGAGACGCAGTTCCTCCGTCATACGAACCGAGCTCCCGCGGTCACTTCAGCGGCAAGCATTACTTTGGGCGCGGGGCACTTCCTCGGTTCCACGCCCGAATCAAATATGGCAGCAAATCAGAGGACTGAACCTCGAGCTCGCACCGTAAACCGCTAACCCGCACTCCAAAGCATGCGCACAACAATCCCCGTCGCCGAACTGGCTGTCGGGAAACAGTTTTTTTTTTTTCTTTTTTTCAAAAAGAAATCGCCCGCCTCGGTTTTAAGTGTTGCTGGCTTCTTTTTCTCTCAAAGATTAGGGAGCGATGTCTTCCCGGCGGTTGTCGACGTCCCGCGACCGCCGAAGGGTAAGAACAAAGCCTGCGGGTGTCACGGTTTTCTAAGACGCCGCCGATAGGAATCTTTTGAGGGGTAACTGCGGGAAGTCCTTACCCAAACTTGGGGTCCTCCACGTGACCGTCGTAAGAATGGTTAAGCCACCCAATGTTTTGGCTTCCCACGACATGATGAAACAGGGGTGTGCCTTGTGTTTTTTATATTTATGCTGGTCTTTTGGCCATAATAAAGCTGCCGCCTGTTTGACAACTCATTTCTCCAGTCCAATAAAGGTGGTTCTCCAGAAACAGCTATGATTCTTTATTTTCAGCATTTTTAATGGATGATTCAACAAAATTCCCTTAGATAATTCAGATGGATTTATTCTTCACTTGATAGCAATAGCATTTAGATGTATATACCACTTCACAGTGCTTGTACAGCCCTCTCAAAGTGGTTTATTGCCCACCAACAACCTGGGCTCCCATTTTACCGACCTCGGAAGGCTTGAGCCTGGTCACATTCGAACTCCTTGCAATGAACAGTGAGTTAGCCTGCATTCTGACTACTGCACCACCACGGCCTATCTTTTAAGAAGTGTGATGTTCTTTTCTAACGATATTTTAAAAAGGAACATCTTTTTGGCTTACATGCTCCATATTATTTTGAAGAACTTCATTCTCACCCCCTTTAACAGATAAAAGAAGCTTTACGATCATAATCACCAAAGTTACATATAGTGATTATGAAGGTATACAAGAAACTGACCAGATTTGTACAATACACTACTGTATGCTAAAAGATAGTTCGCTATTTTCTGATTCATATGTTATGTTGGTACACTACGAGATGAGATTTTCTTATTTTGTGTAACATATGTTTGTCTAATGATAATCTGTTTACAGGATGCTACCGGTAGCACTTCTAATTATAGGAGAATGAAAACTGTTGGAAGAACAATTACAAACTATGAAGCAAACCTTACAAATACTGCCTGTCTTTCAAGAGGTGTGCTATCCATCAAGGAAAGAAAGTTATTTGGTCAGACTCCAGCTAAGATAAAGATTTCACAGGATCCAGATCTTCAGGTAAGGAACAATGAAGCGTGTAACTGAGTATAGTGTAACTGGCAACATGTTTGAAGAGGAAGCAGCTTTTAAAAACTAAGCAATTTAAATTATTTAAATTTAAAGGGCAGGCATCTACAAATTTACTCATCAGGACAAGTATTCCCTGGAGTTGAAGGGTTGGCTGCTGAACGTGATATGATAAAAGTAAAACAAGTATGGACATAAAAATAATAAATAAAAATGTTTAGTACATAATTTGACAGAGCAAAGAGAATATGACAAAAATGCATAATGCCTGGTTGGTTGATTTACATAAATATAAATGTGTAGGAAATAATTCTAGTGATATGAATATATATGCAGTTGGCTGAGAGCCTGAATGATGTGCAGCAAATTATATTGATGATGCAACAAATAAAATTAATATATCAAACATGAGGATAGTTGTGTAGAAAGATGAAGTGACAAGATATTCATTTAAAGTTTTTGAATCCTTTTGAACTTTCAATATTTCTGCATAATTAATGACCTAAAAGTACTCATATCAACTGTTCTTCACTCAACTCTAAAATCTAGATAAAGAACCCAATTATACCAACAAATCACAAACATTATACTTGTTCATTTATTAATGAATATGATCTTCAAATATTAAAAAGCTGGGTTCACAAACTTTTAATCACCTCTGTATATAAATTGTGAAAAATTAAAGCAAGTTAATTTTTTTATTGAAGGTGGAGAAAAGGACACACAAATTTTAAGATATACTTTTGATTGACATTTTAACTCACTACCCACACCCACTACTAGTGAGTTAAAATGTCAATTAAAAGTAGATAAACTGATTTTATAATTGTGCTTCTGCCCATTTTGCTATTTGGAAGTGAAAATTGGGTATGTTGGAAAAAAAGGAAAGGAGGTGAGACTGAGGTTCTTAAGAATTACCTGTGTATTTAAACAAAAAGACACATTAATAATAAAAAAGATACTCATTGTAAGCCAGTTTGGTGTAAGTGGTTAAGGCACCAAGCTAGAAAGTGGAACACTGAATTCTGATCCTGTTTAGACACAAATGAGGACATTGAGCCAGTCCTCAGCTGTAGGTAAGAGTCAGTGGCAAACCCATCTGAAAAGCCTGGCAAGAAAACTACAGGGACTTGTCTAGGCAGTCATCCACAGTCCAAAACTGACTTGAAGGCAAGCAGTCAATCAACTGAATGTGGGTTGAATATAGATATTAGGGTTCGGGTTAGTTAAAAGGGCTGATGTTACTTAGATTATATGGAGAAAATTAATGACAACTGAATAACATAACAACTGAAGAAAGTGGGAAATAGGCTGAGAGGAAGAGAATGCTTGAGGAAATTGTGCTTAGATGAAGTTGATGAACCCTCAAGAAAATATTGGAAGTACAATAGGCAATGTATGAGGTGATTGAATGACATGGAAGCAAGGATGGTTTGCAAGATTAAAAAGGCATGCAAAAATATTGTATTGATGTAAGCTACTTTTAACTGCTCCTTTTCTTTTTTTCTCATCTCAGGTCTTTAGCTTCTTTGGTTTAAGTAATTGTATTGCTCTTTTTGGGCTTCCTTTAACATTGCTTTCTAGAAAAGGAATGGTGAATCATAATTTACAGTGTGCAAATTTTAAAAATTGTGACTTAGAATGCTATGTAAATCCAGTCTATATATGTAAAATGTTCACTAAAATATTAGTAGTGTAATATGTACTTGATGTGTAAACATATTTGCAAAAATATTTATGTATATGTACAAATATACTACCTGCTTTTGATATTATTTTATAACTCTATATAAAAGCAAAATACCACTCATGCATCATCACAAAATTTCCAGAGCCGTAAAGCCTACAAACTTTAAATTTGGCACGTATGTTCCTCTTGGCTTCTAGGTGCTCATTTTTCAAAATGACCATCAGAGCATTAGTATTTCGTATATTAACACGCTCTGATGCTAAGGAGTTCTACTCCCACCCACCTGAAAGAAAATCTGTTCCAAATGCAAAACACAAGCAGAGGAGAGGAGTTTCAGTTTTAGTTTCACAGCACCAAGCAGCTTTAGTACAAAACAGTTGAGCTAAGCCACGCCTAGGCTCCTTGCTGTCTCCTTGCTCACACAGCAAATACTGTTTCAGTTTCCAGACAGCCCTCAATTCTCTCACACATTGACAGGATGCTAGCCAGATGAATACCGATGGGTGCTGGTAGGCAGAGGCAGCATTTTTTTTCTCCCCTTATTTTCCTCCCCCCAAAATAAATTCAACCACATAGTTTCGTAGCGAAGCACGGATATTGAGCTAGTCAATTAGATTGTATAATACAGATTCATTTATTAGTTCTGTTAATAAAGGAAAAGGGTATATTTTTTCCTTTTGCATTTTTCTCAACAGTTTTTGCTATCTTCGGAGCCATAAAATAATAAATATTGGTTTTAGACAACATAAGATAGAAAGGAACAAAAAAATGACACAGTGTCATGTAAATTCTTTGTAATGTTTCCTCTGCTTTGTAAACTATGACAGGAAAATATAGATTTTAGTCATTTTTTTTGCATTTTAAAAATTTCTTTTTGTTGCAGGAGGAAGCTAGTTATCAGATACAATTCATTTTAACTAAGCAGTGGACCTTATACAGCGTCACTCCTCTGCATAAATTCTCTTATGGAAAATTGTGGGAATATTCTAAACAACTAAGTAATGTTATTACTGCACAAAAGGAGAAGAGATTCATACTGGATGGTGAAACTGATTTAATGTTTCAAGCGACGTTTTCTTCATTTTCTGTTTTGAAAACCAAAGGAAAAAAACAAACAGCAGTTCTTATTAAGGTAAGTAGTCTTATATAATAGGTAACTAAGCCAATCTTTTACTAACGATGGCTTTGTATTGATACTTTTGAAATATATTACAGTGAATAGGCTATAAAATAACTTCATTCTAGATAATTTTGTTTATCCATCTACTGCTGCTATATATATCTGTACTAAAGTTTTATAATTAACTCCTGGTGTTTCTTCACCAGATGATTCAAATGTAGGTAATCTAAAATATTTTTTTCTTGAAAGCTTATTGTATCCATTAAGGAAGATGAAAGAAAGAATATATATTTGCATACACACACACATACACAAACACACACAAAGCAGCAAACTCCTTTGATCAAGCTTTATGGGTTGGAAGGTTACAAAATTCAGGTTTCTGTTGGTAAAGTAGCATGAAACAAATCCAGTAGAATCAGACCAAAAAAACTGCTCCAAATATCCTCTTGCTTTTTAATAGCTACATACTTATGCAACTATGAACAGTTCTAAGGGGACCAATTTGGCCCTGGTATGGTATTTTGCAATATGCTGCTTTTGAATCTGTAGGTTCCTTCCCATAGTTATCAATGAGCCAGTTTGTGTGGTTAAAGTAGCAGGCTACAACCTGAGAGACTATGAATTCTAATTCTGCCTTAGGCAGAAGCCAGCTAGATGAACTTGGGCTAGTGACTTTCTTTCATTTCTTGGAAGGAGGCAATGGCAAATTACTTCTGAAAAATCTTTCCAAGAGAACTGCAGGAATTCGTCTAGAGAGTATCCCACAATTGGACACTTGAAAGGGGGGGGGGAGAATTCCAATTATTTGTTTTGAAAATCATTCTTTAGGACTGTAATACTGAGTTCCTTTGGAGTGTGTACTTTCACATAAATCTGATAGAATCCCTGCAAAATATCTATGTATTCAGAAATTAATCTGATCATTGTGAATCTGTAGCATACAGTATGGTCTGAAATTCAGTAAGAATAACTTTTATTAATGTGTTTATCATAAGTTCAGAAATTAACTCAATTTCATAGAATTGTAATAAATGTATTCATGAATCTATGTATTTATAATTGTCTTTAGATTATGCAGAAACCTCTAATGGTAGATGATGATGATGAAGAAGAAGAAAACAAGGTGGTATGGATGGGTTGTCTCTGTTATGCTTGTACAAGTGATTTTGTTGAGACTCTCCCAGAGGATTTTACTTGTTTGCCTTTATTCCTTGTACACGGTGCGCAGGGTTTCTCAAATATTGTTGAAACTTGGCTTCAGCAAACTTTTGATTGTTATTTCAGCCCATTACACATCAATCCTATCCATCTTGCATGGATGGCTGCAATATGGTCTGGATGCAGTGTGGACCATCGCACGCATTCAACAGAACTGACTTTCTCTGTGCCACGTCTACCTTATCCTTTGGATATTTCTTATGCTATCCATTCTGAAGATGCAAAAGCTCTCTGGGATTCAATACACAGTATCCAGGGAGAAGTGAAACAGGAAGAAGTGGAATTATTCATGAACTCCCTTTACAAGCACTTCCATAGGCACTTCAAGATACATTTATCATCTACACAACTAGTGAAAGTTTCTACATCTGTAGCCTCTGTTCATTCATTGGGAAAAATAAAGGTATGCAACTTGCTTTTTTGATCAATAATAATGATATGAATTTACTTTAAAATGAAATATTTGGAAAGAATACTGTAATGGCATTAGGCACCTCTGATCATATGCAGAAGTTTTCCAGCCAGCAATATCGTCTACAAATAGTTTAAGGAAGAGTAGTGGGTATATACTGTATGTCTGAATGACCAAAAAATGGAGCTATTAAAAAGCACTATCCCTTTTTGCTCTATCTTCAGAATCAAGGCAAGATTGCTACCGCTGCTGCTGCTTTGTTCCTGCAGAATGGACTGCTAGGAAGCAACTGTGGCAACCTTGATCAGGCTGAAAGACTCGTGGAGGTTTTCATCCCACTACAAACCAAAATATGTTGGATGCAATAGTACAGAGAGTTTCAAAATATCTGTATCAAAGTATCTGAAAGAGGAAGTTGAGGCTTTTAAAAATGTCTTCAAATTTTCATATTTTTTAACCTTACTCCAGAATATGGAGCACTTTTATTTCTGCGATAGTCTTATACAGATAGTTCTCAACTTAGAACAGTTCATTTAGTGATCATTCAAAGTTACATTAGTCACTGAAAAAAGTGACGAATGATCGTTTTTCACACGACCATTGCAGCATCCCCTTGGTCATGGGATCAAACTTTGAATGCTTGGCAACTGACTCATATTTATGACATTGCATTGTCTCTGGGTTCATGTGATTCCCTTTTGCAATTTTCTGACAAGCAAAGTCAATGGGGAAGCCAGATTCGTTTAACAACAATGTTACTAACTTAACAATTGCAGTGATTCACTTAACAGCTGTTATAAGAAAAGTCATAAAATGGGGCAAAACTCAATAAATGTTTCATTTAGCAACATAAATTTTGGCCTCACTTGGTTGTAACTTGAGGACTACCTATAAAAGGGAAACATGGTATTAAAGTACATAGCATTAAGTACATAATATTTTGTTTTAAGCTTTAAAAAATATTTTTATTGTACATTTTTCCTTAATATTCATCAGAGTTCCAATTTTACATCGTCATTGTGTACTGGTTATATTAAGTCCTTTTTTTTACATCATAGTATGCATCCTAATTGAAACTATCATACAATATAATCTCTTTTGACTACATAATGTTATACATCATGATTATAACTATTATTTTCTTAATTATACCATAATACGCTATTAAATTTATCATTTTGTGCATTTAATACTATATTCACATACAATCCAATAGTGGTACATTGTTTATTCTTACATATTTCAATATATCTGTATTTTGATTTTGTTAATCTTTCATTTAGTAAATACTAATCTCTATTATTTATCCAATTGTACAATACATCCCATGTTAGGTAGTACCGTATATACTCGAGTATAAGTCGACCCGAATATAAGCCGAGGCACCTAATTTTACACAAAAAACTGGGAAAACTTATTGACTCGAGTATAAGCCGAGGGTGGGAAATGCAGCAGCTACTGGTAAATTTCAAAAATAAAAATAATTAATTTGGGAAACGATCTCACTATCATGAAAGGTTTAATTGATTCACTAACCCAAAAGAAGAAGATGATGATGACAGCGGGAGGCAGGAGTCACTCTCTTCCCCTCCCTCGGAGGCCCCCTGAGTCAGGAGTCACTACCGCCGGCGCGGCCCCAGTCCCGCCGCCTCGGGAAGGGAAAGGCAAAGCGCTTTTTTCCTTTCCCTTCCCAGCTGGGGCTGTTGGGAGTCGCTGCCGCCGGAGGCCGCGACTCCACACCATTTTTTTTTCAGAGGGGAATCTGACTCGAGTATAAGCCGAGGGGGATTTTTTCAGCACAAAAAATGGGCTGAAAAACTAGGCTTATACTCGAGTATATACAGTATTCTGTTTCCTTTTTGTCCCTTTGTAAGTCTGTCCAGTTCCGCACATTCTAATATTTTTTAAATTATCTGTAGGTGTACTTTTCCAATTTTCCAATTTTGTGCATATATGATTCTAGCTGCAGTTATTATGTGTATGATTAAATATGTTAATATTTTATTATGTTTCCCCAATGTTATCCCTAATAGGAATAGTTCTGGTTTCAGATCTATTTGTTGTTCCGTCATCTCTTCTAGCCAATTCTTTATCTTAGACCAATATTTTTTTGCCGCCGGAGAAGGTCCACCACATGTGGTAGTAGGATCTCAACCTCTGTTTGCACTTCCAACGTTCTGGTGACATGTTTGGAAACATTTTTGCCAATCTTGCTGGTGGCAAGTACCATCTATAAAACATTTTGTATAGGTTTTCTTTGTACACTGTTGACAATGTTAATTTATAATTTTATCCCCCACAATTTTGCCAATTATCTAATTCTATAGTGTACACCAATTTTTTTTTGCCTATACAATCATCATTTCTTTTACATATTCTTCCATTTTTAAATTCAATAGATAATTATACATTTTCTGTATTAATTTTTCATCTGTTCCTAACAGTATTTTGTCCAGTTCTTGGGGTTCCTTCCTGTTTTAAGCTGTGGACCCCATCAGTCAAAGAATTTTGGCCGCTGGGTCCAGAAAGTCTTTTCTGTCATGGCTCCTGCCCTCTGGAACATCTTGCTCCCCAAAGTCAGATCCGCTTCCACCCTTTTGAAAAGCCTTGGCTGTGCCAATTTGCCCAGGGCCCCAATAGGGGGTGTAGTTAGAGGTGGCTAAATGGAGTAGAGAACACCCCATCTCTTTATGTACACTTTGCTCCCTCACTCTCCATCCTGCTTAAGTTTTTATTTTAATTGAATTATTAAATTTAAGATCTTTATTGTTTTAATGTTTTCAACTATTATTTTATTCAACGTCTAAGCCACCTAGAATTGCCTTTGGTGAGATAGGTGGCATACTAGTTTAATAAATAAAGTTAGCTTTCTTTAATGTTTGAGATATTGAAGACTAGATTAAAAGTAAGGCCAAAATGAGAACTTTTGTTGATTTTCTGTTTCCTTGTTGTTTCCATGGATCTAATGGGTATCTCTTTCTCTCTCTCTCCCTCTCTCTTTTTTATCAGATTCACCATACCCAATATCTGATGGGAGTCCTGTCACTGCTCACAGAACTGGCACTTTCAAAAATAATGTGACAAGTATTTACTGTGTTATATCTCATAAAGTTAATTACAGAAAATTATTTAGTATAGCAGATTGTAGAATTGTTTTTGTCTACTCTGCTCTTGTTGTACTTAAATAGAAGGTAGGTTAAATGTGTTGTATATAGTATTAAGAGCTATATAGTTACATTTTTTCATATTTATATGGATTATTAAAAGAAATATATTACTCAAAAGTACAGTATAATGTTTACAACTGTCTACATATTGAACTTTTGCTCAGAAAATCTAACCAACTAAGTGGGAGAATTTTAGAATTTTTAGATTTTAACTTCAGGTGAGCTTTTCAGAAAAAAAAACCCCATGGAGATGGTATCCAATTTACCTATATCATTGGCTCTTCCCTAAATTTTAAGTGATTATAGAAATGCTATACTAATTCATATAGTAAAACAAAGAAAAACAGTGAAAGTGTAACTGGAACATATTTCATCTATGTGAGGCCTATAATTATGAATCATAAAGACCAGGACCTGCTTATTCTTAATGATTCTGGGCATTTGGTCTTTGTGCAAGATAATATCACTCACATTCCTTTTCTCTCCATTTGGTCAGTGTTCTGTGTTTAGTCCTCACTGAGGTTTTGGGAAGATTATAAAACTTAAGAGCTTTAAAATAATTTTTAATTTCCTTGTGTAACATCCTACAGCATTGCCCCTAGATCAGGGATTAAATTGGGGTTCTGATGGCATGTTTTATACAAAACCTGTATCCATAATGGATTACTTACTTCAGACATGACTTCATGTATCATCTGACCTGGATTGGGTTGGGTTCAAGACGAATAATATATGATGAGCACCATCTTTATTTTACTATCTATACAAGGGATGGGAATTGCTTCAAGTAGGGCACATCATTTGCGACATTTGAAAAAACTTCTTGACAGTGACAACTGCTTGGCAATGCAGTACTGTAGATTGCCTCAAATTGGATTTCCTTTAGGGTGCCAAATATTAATCAGAATCTGGGCAGTCATTAGTTATGGAGTTGAACTAAGTCTCTTAAATTTTTTCTTTAGGAGGAAAGACAGTGGAAGAATGTGAAAATTTTCTATATTTTTAAAGTGAATCATTAGGTAGTTAATGGAATTCTACAAAGTGGAAAATGCCTGTTGTGCTTTTTTAAAGCAAAAGCTGTCCAAAGGCATTGCTGTAGTTATCCTAATCAATCACAGCAGGACAGAAATTTGTGGATTCATTTGAAACAGATTATGTGGAAGGATTCATAATAGTATGAATAGTATAAAGATATCTTTATAGCTAGCTGTATTGGAAATTACTGATTGAGTCAGATTTAATTAGTAACATTTCTGTGAGAAGTCAGATAAATACAGTTTATGGACAGATACAAAGAGTGGAAAGCAATAAAGACACTTTTTTTAAAAGGTGGCATCAGATAAGGTCTTTGGTACATTCCCTGCCTATGTCAGTTTGTTGGCATTTGCTTTTGGTGATGTGTTCCTTGAGCAGTGGAATGAATGATGGAGATTTGGGAGCTCCATTGCTCACAACATCTGTATTGTTGGGCTTGTCTGGACAATTGCCAGAGATGGAATGCAGCACGTGATATCACAAAATGAGAAGGATGAAGGCCAGAAAAGCTTATACCTTTGTTGGAAAAGGTGCTACTGGAGTCCTGACCCAAGTTAAGGAGCAAACTTATGAGGTGCTGCCATCCTAGCTATAAACTCCAGGAAGTTCTTTTTAATTGTGGTGATCTGGTGGTTGTGGACTACTCAAAAATAGGACTGGTATTCTTCATTCTCACAATCAGGAAGCAGCAGGTTAACCATTTTCTAAAGTGTAACCAGTTTGTTCTACTTGGTCAGTCATTACTGTCAATGGAGGGCAAAGAAAAGCTGAGAGTAGAGACTGCTGACACAAGCCTGTTTGGGAGGTTTATAGGTCTGTCAGGTTTTGGTTCTGGAAGTGCAATAGGGCAGAGATCTTTTTACTCCCTGCAGGTTTATGTTGGCCTGGATTGTCGTCATCATTGGGAATTAACTTGGTAGAAGATAGGTTAGGGGACTTTGTGGCCCTGACTATTTTGTGACCTAGTTTGGAGGTGACATATTGCCACCCAGTCATTTGTGAGGGGTTGCTTGAATAGGGGAGGGTTTGGATACTTTGATTTTAAAGATTTTTGGTTATTGTAAGTAAAAATGAATGTCCTATCCCAGCTGAATGGCTAGCCAATATGGCTGCTTGATTCTCTGGTTGGACATAGAAGTTACTTTTTGGCTGTTTAGGAATGAAAGACCTAGTCAAATGGAATGGTGTAAGTTGTATCCTAGTAGTATTGCGTTAAAAGAAATATGGTCATTACTTTTTTCATTTCCCAAAAAACTTCCTAAGTAAATAGAATCTTCTACCTGCATTTGCTTTGCTTGAGTCTCAGTGCATTTGTGAGAAATAAAAATTCTTTTGTTTTTCTTAGCATTCTTGAAAATACTTATAGTAATATTGGGATTTCCAATACTTATGGCATTTCCAATACAACCTTAAAAATATTTTTATTATCTGTGGCAGTTATCTAAAATCTCCCAAAGTACTGGAAAGAAATACATGAAAACTAAAAAACAACAACCTGAAAATAAAAGTTTAATTAAGACCACACAATAAATACTATTTGGTACTAGAAAATCTGTGAGCTGTTAGGTCATCTTTTAGGTAAATTCCTGCAAGACATTTCTCAACGTTAGCCAAACAAGTTCTGGGTCTTATGAAGGGGTGTAAGAGGTGCTGCATGAATTGGGGAAATTGTGTCTGAGTATGGCACAGATTGGGAAGGATGTGCAGAGTGGCAGAAGTGCTGTGCTCTTTGGGAGGTGGTGGTATGGATTGAGAAGGGCATGCAAGTGGTGTTGTATGGGACAGGAAGTATGAATGGGAATGTACAAAAAGGTTGGGGAGTTTGAGCCAGTGGGAGACTTATCTGAATAACTTGCAACCTTCCCTGCTGGCTTCCCCGTTGCTGACACTCCCTGCCAATTTCCCACAGCAAATACTTTGCTTCTGGGAAGTTGGCAGGGGTCATAGGCAATCCCAATTGAATTTACACTTCCTGCCAGCTTCCCCAATCACTTTCCTTGTAGGATGCTGACAGGGAGCGTTGGAAATTATGATTATGTGACTGCTGCTAATAATGGTAGCGCAATGTCAAAGTCACACTGAAGTGATCTCAACTTTGCCAATTTCAGTCCCACGGGAGTCATGGATCCTGCATTTTGGATGCATTCTTTAAGTTAGCTCTTTTGAGGTATGTTGGTTCAATAATTGTTGCCTTATGATACATCATTTTACCCAATTGAAATATACAAACTGCTGCAAGAAGGCTATATAAACAAGAGCATAACAAAGCAGCAACAATAGTACTTTGGAAGATCCACAACAAATAGCATTTGCCTCCAAGCACAAACTGGTAGGATCACAAAATAGACAAAGTAATAGAAAACAAAGCTAGAGTGCTTTGAGACATTAAGTATTCAAACAGACAGGCACCTGCCACATAACATCCCAAACTTAACAATTGTCAGTAAGAAAGATTAAAAAAAAAGTCTGGATAGTGAACATAGTAGTACCTGAAGATAGGATAAAAGATAACAAAAATGGAGAAAATTACAAAATACAAAGACCTAAAAATAGAATAACTGGCAAAAGAAAAAAAGAGTACCAATACTGATAATAGCCTTGGGTGCAATTCCAGAACAATGGAGTATCACTTGAACACCATTATCATTGACAAAATCACTATGGTCAAATTGCAAAAAGAGCAGCTTACTACTGCAACTGCAGGTCCTTGAGGACTTGATGGGTGGATAAAATGCCAAACAAAGTCTAAACATCTGGCTGACTGCAATGAACCATAATTAAAATAGTGTTTTCCAACATTTATTGTTGTGTTATTTGTACGAAAAGCAAAGGAAGTATGCAACTAAGCTTAATTAGCTCCTTTATATTTGTACATATACTTGTCTAATTTCAAGATAACTAATTTCAAAGTTATCTTACTACAATAAGCTATGCCAACAAGGCTATTCGGGTTACTATGCCCAACAAGGCTAGTCAAGTTGTTGTAAGTATCGTTGCCCAACTAGGCTACACATTGACTGAACCCAAGTGAGGTAGAGTTGCTGTTATCCTTGCATAAACAGATGTTAGCCACTTCTGGAGCAGATTTGTGGTTTGGGTATCTTTTGAAACTCATGTCTCCTTTAACAACAGGTGAACGATGTGGCTGGTGGGCTTTTGCCCAACTTTGGCTGGTGTATCAACTGCAGCTATATAATGATGACAACTGACATGCCTATATGCTCTCATTACAACCCATTTTCACAAATGCAGTATGCTTTACACGAGAGTCCCTTTGTGGCCCATGTCTTAACTGGCTTCCTACATTTGGAGCATATTACCAGTCTGTTACCAGTTCAGGTCTAACTACAATTTAAAGTACTGTAGAGTCTTTCATGGCTTGACATTTGGCCACCTAGAGGATTGCTTTCCCCCAACCAGATTCAACCCAATCTGTTAGATCATGAAGAAAAATGCACCTGTCTTGTTCCACATTCCTAGTGAAGGTAAAAGGTGTCGCTTCTTTGTTATAGTACTGGTGCTATGGAATGATCACTCTATTAAATAGAGATCAAACTGAAAGTCATTCATAGCAGCTTTTTCAAATAGCTTTTCATTATTTTACACCATTTGCATCACTTGTTCTTGAATTTTGTTCCTGATTTCTGTTTCGTTTAACTATTCTTTTTGTTACATTGTAATTACTGAGTGTCTTTAGACTGGTGACATAAAAACTGAATAAAAGAATATAGATTACAAGTTTGAATAGTTAATCTTGCTATAACTTTTTCCCAACACAGGAAAGCATAATCTTGACTATTGCAACATGCTCTAAATGGGGCCGCCCTTTTAAAGTATCCGGAAGCTTCAATTGGTTCAAAATGCAGTGACCCATATGGTTTTGTGCAGGCTTAAATGTGCACGTCATCTCTTCTGTGGGAGCTGCCTTGATTGCCAATTTGCTTCCAGATCCAATTCAAGGTGCTGGTTGTCACCTTCAGAGCCCTACATGGCTTGGGGTGAAGTTATTTCAAAGGCTATCTTTTTCTGGAGGCAGGGAATGCAATGGGTCCTTTCTCCTAAGGAGGTCCATCTAGTGGGACCAAGAAGAAGGGGCTTTCTCCATGGTGGCTCCCTCCCTATGGAACATCATACCTACACAGATAAGATTCAACTCCACTTTGACACTCTTTCATAATGCCCTGAAGACCTGGTTTTGCCAATGGGTCCAGCAAGCCCAGAGCAGGATGGAGCCCATCAAATGGCTTGTTTGATTGTTGTTGCCACCAGGGTGGGGTGGGACTGTTGTGATTGATTTTATATGTTGTTTTTTTATTGTTGTAAGTTGTCTGGAGTAATTGAAAGTAAGACCATATAAATTTTCTTAAATAACTGGGGACAACTTAGTTTTCAATCCTTTTTAGGTTTCCTGCAATTCTTGTCTATTACAATAGCATAACACTACTGATGAAAAAAGAAAATATACAAAAGAAAAGTTTACTGAGAGTACATATATTGACTGACCTATGTAAAAATTCATATCTAGAATAAACAAAATTCTTTGAGTATTACAATATAAATTTGGCAAATACAGGAATCATGAGAGAACATAATACTCACACAGATTTTATTTAATAACACTATACAAGTTAACATGCTAGAAAAAGCATGATATGTAAACAATTGTTTACAGAATACTTTTTCTTCATAAAGGTGCAAATGTTTAATATGTAAACACAAGAATGCCAACCTTTAGGGTAAAAGGTTTTATCTCAAGTAATGCCTCCCCAAATTTGATTTGTGATTCTCTACCCCATCCCAATTTATGAATAGATATAATAGACATTGAAGATGCTTGAGTTTATAAACAAAGTTGTTTCTTATAAAGGTGAAACAGGACACTTCAGTGTCACTTGGTTTTTCCCAGTGGTTATAATCCACCAAGATCAAAGCAGTTCATCCATTCTTTTTTAGCTTTTGGAATTACAAGAACTGGCTAGTGTTGTGGGATGTATCAAATTAAGAATTGTTGTCACCCAATTCAGATATAAGCTGTACATAGATATCCTGCATCTGATTCAGCTGCAATGCTGGCACAGTTGTAATAAATATATTTTTACAATCCAATTTTCATAAACTGTCCTAACCCCCTCCCTCCCAACAGAATAAAACTACATCTTAAGGATAAATATGAAAAGCTAAACTGAAAGTCCTAATGTTCTAATCACTTCTTTCAGAAGCATAGTAAGGCTGGCCTTCTTATACTTTAGAATCCAGAAATTCAGGCATTTAAAGCAGAATAAGCATAGTACCTGAGGCTAAAGTGGGAATTTATTTTATTTCCTATTAATTATTAAGGATACTTTCCCCCCTTTCTTTAACCCATACTGCAAGATTACTGTCCAGATTTGCGTTTGGGTATTAGAGAAATGTTCCCACTATGCCAACAGTGAAATGCATCTAAGAGTCACACTCATTTCAGTAAAATTAATGGCACTAAATAAAAGTAGATCTGGATTCCTGAATTGCTTCTGTTTAGTTTTGTGGAAACCAACTTTGTGCTAAAAGTTCCATATTCCTATTTCTTGTTCCAATAACTAGATCATGAATTTGCAATACTTTGTACTTGTTGCAATTTTCTAAGTAACACTTATACCCTTATTTAACAGCTTGTGTGCTTGTGTGTGTGTGTATGTGTAATGAATTAAATGGAGTAAGTCTCAGATTTAAGAAAACTGTTCAATATTATCAGTACAATGTGTTTTAAAATCTATCACTCATCCTGCTGAAATGAGTAGGGTTAGGGTTAGGTTGTATGCCATTTTCTTTACAACAAGGCAGATGCAGAAGACCATCTGGCTTTATTACATACTTTCTGATCAAGGCAAATGATGTTTATAGAAACATTGCTCTTACAGCTTGCCACTTCTTCACACAGGTTCACCTCTTTGAAAGAACTCACATGTATCTGGGATCTTAGACAATGCTTGACGTAACAGTGGATTCCAGTTCCAACAGAAAGATTATATTAGGATAGGAAGATAAATACAAGGAAATTACTGTTCCAGGGAGTTTTCTGCAGTTGGGTAGCATGTTCTTCCTTAATTGTAGCAGAGAAGAGAGCAAACATTTGAATATCCACTGCAGTTCCAAAGGAAGAGGCACAGCAAGAACATAAGTGATCTCATTTTACTAGAGTCTTGAAAGGTTCTTAAGTTACCTAACACAAATGTTTCAGTTGGAATGAAGAAACAAGCAAAATTTTCCCTTTGGCTTTTTACCATATATGGGATTCGCAGTGTGTCATTTTGATAACCCCCACACCACCTCCAAGTCGACGATAGTTCATTCCTCCATACAGCCTGCAGAAGAAATGGTATGCTTATTCTTCTATAACAAAATGTATATGAATCAGAGATAAGACTGCTGAAAAGTCTAAAACTGAGGATTCTAAAAATAATTAAATTAGAAAATGAGATACAGTCAATTTATATTAGATGCATGGAAATTTACATGATGCTTATAAGTCAACGAGCTTGTGTAAGAAGTTCATGAGGTTTTTCATCATATCCTCATAAATGTTACACTTTTAATTCTAATTTTATTTACTTACTATGATGAATAAAATTAAAATCTGGATGAAATAAATTGCAATAATAAAAATGTATTAAAATCATAAAACCAGATGAAATGCCATACTGAATAAGAAATTTTTTAGCAAAAACGTTGGTTTTTCCAGGCAAATTTTAAATTATTTTAGAAGATCAGTTATTGATTATACCTTATTAATTAATCAAAGCATACATGATTTTTCCTTTACACTGTGATTAGAACACATGTTAAGCCATGAGTAATCAAGGTTTATTGAACAAACTTAAGGTGTCAATATGTTTGATAAATTGAAGGTTCGCTTTCCTTTTTTAAGAAGTTATTTTCTTGCATTCGTCTATGAATTAGTTAAAAGTTTGGGCAAAGCTAAAAAGTTGGGAATAAGTTAAGAAAAAAGTAACATGCTCATATATGCTACAATGCAGTTGGTAAACTAATAACATCTCTTGCATGTTCTCAGATTTTCCTCATACAATTTGATTAGCAGAATATTTTTAAACTTTGAATATACCTTGCATATACCAAGTTAAATGTATCTGTGTCTGAGATCTTTCTGCACATTTTATTTAAGGTAAAATCTTCAATATCTGCGAATGTCTATCAGCAATAAGACAAATGACTTAACAATGTCTTTTTAGTTTTTTAATTTTCTGGTCTACACTTCAGTTTTAACTTTTTTACATCTGTTAATTTTGTTATGCTGCCAACTAGTCTGTATTGATTTTCTAAGAACACAGTTAACAGGTATAAGTGATAAAAGAATGTTAATTCTTGCCCCGGGAAATTATTTTACTCATTTATCTATTTATTAACTTGATATGAATAGAACTCATTCTTTATGACCAGTTACTCTAAAACCTGGTACTGTTTTGAATTAATGTAGATCCTCTAATCTAAACCTAATTTCATATTTTTATTTTATTTATTTTTATTTGATTTGATTTGTCAATTGCTTACAAGATAATAGGTATAAGTATAAACATAGTGATGAATACATGGATACATATAAGAAAAATAAAAGAAACAATAGGACAAGGACAGTTGGTGCGCTTATGCACGCCCCCTACAGACCTCTTAGGAAAGGAGTGAGGTCAACAGTAGACAGTCTAAGGTTAAAGTTTTTGGGGTTTGGGGAAGAAATATTGGAAACTACTTTTTCTACAGTAGATTCTTTGAAAAGAGAACTATTAGCCAACATGCACAATTCAATCAAACATCTCTTCTTAAATGTCCTGCATGTTCTATTTGGAATTTTTCCCCCCAAAGGGATCTATTTAACCCAATTATGCCTTCAAAGAAATTAGAATTCCAGAATAGCTCAGTTTGGGCATTAAGAAAAGCTGGATTTCACAACCGATATAATTCTCTTATAATAATTTATTTCATGTAAGAATAAATGACTTTGGAAGATAATACGTGTTACCTTTGTGGAGTTCCTCTGGTATTAACTGTACACATTTGCACTACTTTAATCAAACACACTTCCATTTCAGAAATCATAGATCATGAATTCTGAGAGTGTATTGCTCCTGCCCATAAACCCACAGTGGGTGCTTTGTACAGACATTATGCCACACCAGAAATTTGTTTTACTTGGCTTTGGTTAAATGCATAAGGAGTTGGGTGTGTGTGTGTGTGTGTGTGTGTGTGTATGTAGATGATGCAAATGTGATCATGATGCAAATTTTGACTCTTAATTACTTGTATGCAAGTATAAAATGGCAGGGCTTGTGTTGTGATGTTACAATATGTTTTATATTTTGGCACCATCATGTTTAGAATTGGTCATCTATAGTTTAGTACTGTGATGGCGAACCTATGGCACGCAATTTTTGGCACAGGAGCCGAAAAAGGTTAGCCACCACTGGTTTAGTATAATGTGTGAAATCAATCATTATATCTTGTACTCTCTAGATCAGGAGTTCTCAACCCCTGGGCCATGGCCCGGTTCTGAACTGCACAAGTGGTGGGCAAGTGTGCTTGTACAGGAATCTATATTTGCATGACTGGTGGGCACTCACGTGTGAAACTCCATTTCTCTGAGCAGTGGGTGCATGTACTTGTGTAAATGGAGCTTACGCACGCCAACTGCTTCTGCGGAACCATCTCTCTCCCCTCCCCCCCACCCCATCGGTCTACAAAGCTGGAACAGTTGGAGGTCCCTGCCATAGATTATAGTTTGTTTGTGAACTAACCCATTATTTTCAGGGGCTGATTATATATCAGAGAGATAACAAGGTGAAATAAATACAGTGTGACTTATGCCCTGCTTATCACTGTTCAAAATCTGGTTTACCTCCATGTGTTGGCATCGGGATCAAACACCTCAATAGTCTTCAAATATGTTGTGCCATCAAAGCCTCCCACGGCCATTAGTTGTCCATTCACTACAGCAAGTCCAACCTAAGAGATAATTAAGTCTGGTCTAGTGGTTAAGTTTGATGTAATGGTTAGGTTAATCACTCTCAGTCCAACTCACCTCATGAGTTGTAGTGGGGGAAATGGGAGGAGGAAGAAATATTAGTAACATTTGGTGCCTTGAATTATTTATCAAAATAATAAAGGTAGGATGTAGATAAATAAAAATATTTCTGTTAATTACATAAGCAAGAATGCTACAGTACAAATTTTTGATGTTCAGTGTTCTAAATTGCAAGTGTAGTGATGGCAGTTCCTGCAGTCCCATTGCCATTATTAACTGAATCCTACGGTCATTAGACAAGGCAACTTGCTGGCTTCCCACAACCAAAGTCAATGGAAAAGCAGACAGGAAGTTGCAAGTTCCAGGTTGGCAGGTTAGTAGATCAGTCGTTGCTGTGTGCAAGAGGAAATGAGAGGGTACTAGGATGCATGAGGGGCGTGGTGCAGGTCAAGCAGTCTACATAAGGGGATGTGCAAGAGGTGTGCAGCTCAAGGAGGAGCACAATGAACACTGATTGGTTAAAGTGCAAAGGGATGCGTAAGGCATGGTTGAAGAAGGTGCAAGACTACATGAGACAGCACAGATTGGGGAAATGTGCAAGGAACAATCAGAAAATAGGTGCAGGTTGGGTGTGCAATGGTGTGAAGGAGGTGCAGCAAGAGTTGTGGAGGATCCACAAAGATGCTCAAATGGTTGACATGGCACAGATGCAGAAAGACAGGTTGGGGAGACTTACCCCAATGACTTGTAACCTTCCCTGCTGGCTTTCTCATTTACTTTCTGGAGAGGATGGCAGGGAAGATTGCAAACAGTGATGCCTGATTGTAGGGCACCTGGCAACCATTCAAAAGTACAAAAGGTGTCAAGTGCCTACACTGCATTCACATGACCGCAGGGATGCTGGGATGGCCAGATCTCAATGAAGTGGTTATAACCACCATTCATCCAGTGCTATTATAACCTTGAATGGTCGCTGACCCAATGGTCATAGGTCAAGGACTAGCTGTAATTATTTTCATGCACACTTAAAACACTTGGAATAGTAACTTTGCACAGTTCATGTTATTGCTTAAGTTTCATTTATACTGTAACATACAGTTTCCAAAGATCTCCCATTAAAAATGATCTTATACTGTGTAATCTGATACTTTATAAATAATTATTATAGTGCATATCAACATGGAGCAGGGTTCTAAGTTCAATACTGTGCTACCTTTTCCTTTTCCAAATTCTAACTTTTTAATTGCAACTTTTGCACTCCTCTTGCTACTGGGTCTCAATACTGGGCAGTCTAATCATGATATGGAGAAATCGCAGTCAACCAACCAAAGGCCTTACCCCACTACGGCGTGATGTCATCGCTACCACAGGAGACCACTGGTTAGTTCTGGGATTATATCGCTCAGCACTGCTAAGTTCAGTAGTATCATCTCTGCCTCCCACAGCATAGATCATATCTTGATACACGGCACACCCTAGGTGCTTACGTCGAGTTCCCATAGGTGCAATTGTATGCCAGCGATTCTCCTGGGGATTGTAGCGTTCCACTGTGGATGGTTTTTATGATACTGGTCAAACAATAAAGACATCTGACAATAGCAAAACACAATCTAAATCCACCTCCCCCATATCAACAAATTGTAGCAAAAGAATAATCAGAAGAACAGATGAGATATTGATAATTATCAAACTATAATCTAATTCAATATTCAGTTTATATTGGTAGCCCATCAGATGTTTCAAGCAACACAGAAGAGTGTTAAAAAAGTAGCTTGTACATATTTCTCAAATCTGGATATATACTAACTAAAAATTAGTTCTATTTAATTATCCTATCCTACACAAGCTTTTTAATCCCGAGGAACTTAACCACTCTTATTCAAAACTCTCAACTGAATTATCTGGAAAATCTGTCTATCAGATAGAGACAACCAATCTACTTACTAAAGAATAAATGAGGTATAACAACTTGGTAAAAAAATTAATCTTTCCTGCTGTGTTATAGGTTCATTTTTTCTCAATAACACTGATAACAATTGTTTCATTGTTCAATGACCCTGAACAACAAAGGTATGTAAGTAAATTGAGCTTCTATGGGAAATACCTGTGTTCAGAGGTGATGTCCCATCAGAGCCTCCAACAGCATACAGGAAACCCCCTAATACAGCCACAGCCACCCCAAGTCGCCTAGTACTCATGGAAGCTACACGAGTCCATTTGTTTTCTTTTGGATCATATCTGAAACAAAAAGAAGGAAACATCTCACTGCCAGTAAAAGTAATTCTGCTATCTTCCTTAAGGAACTCTGTTTCCAAGTTGATTTTTAAAATACCTTTCAACGATGTTAAGACAGGAAACACCATCCTGACCACCTACAGCATACAGATATCCACCAAGTACTGCCACTCCAACACTGGTTCTGCAGGTGCTGGTAGGTGCCACATCGCTGCTCCACTGATTGGTTTTTGGATCATATCTGGAAAAGAAAGATATATTTCAGGTCTTCATGGTAATCATCTTGTAAGTTCTCCTTTTCTTATGAGTTCTGTATTTTCTTCACTTGAAACTTGTGTTTTTCATCCATATTGTTAAGAGTTCACCTGGGCTGAGAATACTGGACTAAAAGCAAAACTTTGTTCAGAGTAGTATTTCTGATTCAGTCCAGAAGAGGGAGGAGAGAGGACAGAGGTGAAATTCTTTTTCTTTCTTTTGAAAACCTTCATTCCCTGATACATATATAATTCTCGCTGGATTATTCATGATTTTTAATATATGGTCCTGCTTATGAGTTGAATTTAAACTGTTGCTTTTAATGCTAATTTGTCATTGATCCTAAGATTGCTTATATTTTTAAACTGAATATTGTATCAATGTAAGCCATAGAGTGGAGAAATCTGTTAACTAAGAGCTGTATTTATATGTGGGGGCGGGGATGGAGGAAAGATGTTGCCAAATTGGCAGGCTCTTGTCACCCACATGATCCAAGTTACCATTTTCTGATTTTACTTTTTCAGGCTAGTGTGGCAAGATCTGGATTTGTTTCTTTGGCTTGTTTCTCTACTGTTTTACAAAGCAAACTTCTGGGATTACATTAAGGGTTTTGTACGGTGAGACGAAAATGCACAGCTTGTTTTTAGTCTGAAAACAGGGCATAGACTCCCTATTACTATTTTCAAAGCAATCTAAAATCCCTATACAGATACCCCTCGTTCATTTAGTGACCGTTCAAAGTTACAATGGCACCGAAAAAAGTGATTTATGACCATTTTTCATGCTTATGACCATTGCAGCATCCCCATGGTCACATGATCACCATTTAGATAGTTAGCAATTGTTTCTTGTTTATGATGGTTGCAGAGTCAGGTGATCATCATTTGCGACCTTCTGCCAAGCCAAGTTAAAGGGGAAGCCGGATTCACTTAACAACCATGTTACTAACTTAACTGCAATGATTCACTTAACGATTGTGGCAAAAGAAAGTACTAAAATGGGGCAAAATTGACTGAACAACTGTCTCACTTAGCAATAGAAATTTTGGGCTCAATTGTGGTCATGCGTTGACTACCTGTATTTTAATTTTTTTATTTTTTGAAAGGAAAGAAAAATCCTGAGTCATTTTAATAATACAAAAGCCATGTGAAGATAATTTCTACATCATATCTATTAAGTAGTATATTGGAATATAATTAGTAATTAGCATGATGATCTTAAAAAGTGTTCCTAATGGCTGAGACTGAACCTTTTATCCAGACTTTAACAGTCTCCAGATGCCACGACATAGACTTCACTTGTTTGGCCTGGGGTTGTGATATACAACTGGTATTATCCACATAATGGTGATAGCCAATCCCATGCCACTACATAAACTCACCCAATGGCTTCATATAGATGTTAAATAGAAAAGATGAGAGAGTTGAGTCTCGAGGACCCCCACAAAACAGGAGCTTGGAGTTTATCTCCCTTCCACCACTAACTGAAACTTCTTCTGGGTAAAGGAATAAAACCACAACACACTGTCACTGTTCCCAAGTCTCAGATACTATGACTTATGATATATATCTTGCTTTTCCATTAAATACATTATTTATTTATCCCTTAAATCAATCAATCATTGCTATAACGTTAGCAAGCACACACTGAAGAGCTTATGCTTTGTGTGATAAACCTAGAACTTACCTTTCTACACTATTTAGATAGGAAGAACCATCATGTCCTCCTACTGCATAAAGAAGATCATCCAAGACACTAACTCCAACACCACATCGTCTTTTGCTCATGGAAGCCACCATCCGCCACTCATTTGTTTGAGGATCATAGCGCTCAACACTGGAAATTGCATCTCCACTACACCAGCCACCCACTGAGAAAATCAAATTGGGAGAGAGTAAAATGGCAGACTATAATTAGACATATGGAGTGTGGGAGTAAGATATTTTGTATACATATATATACATATGCATAAACACACAAATGCATACACACATGCCTCTAAAGTGCATATTATACCCAGAAGGCAACGTCTGATGACCCTAGAGGAGAGAAAAACAGGTAACGGAAACAAGATTGTTATCTTTCCCTTGATGAGCAAAATAGGGATACAATTTAGAGGGAGCTAGTAAAGTATCAGATGAAAAGGCAGGCCTGAAGGCTCCTTAGAAAAAACAAAATACAGAGAAAGTAGGAGACCACGAGTTCAAGTTCTGCCTTAGCCATGAAAGCCACCTAGGTGACTTTGGGCCAGTCACTCAGCCCAACCCACCTCAGAATTGTGGGAAAAGGGGGTAACGTGTGTCAGATATGTCCATAGCTTATTTGTAAAAATAAAGGTGGATATAGATATTTAGTTGCACCTAGCTGCAAAAGCTTTGATTCCTTACTTAAGTGGGCATGTTTCCCACAACAGCCTGGCATAGTCGACAGGATCGGAAGGTCAGGAAAGTAGAGAATCTGCATTTGGCATACCCCTGACATGTCTCTGCCTTTGCCCTTTATCCTCTTGAGGACTCAACAGAAGCAAGTCCAGGATTCTGTAGGTAAGAATCTAAGTTATGATTCTGAATGGTGGTTGTGGATCTCCTCATTCTGACTATACAGGAACACGTAAAGGGGGACTTCCGGTTTGCAAGGCTTCGGCAGCGGCAGGGATTCGCGATACCGCACGATCCCTGCTGCACTCGCTGCCAAGGTTCCCCCGATCCGCTTGGATTTGGGGGATATAGCTGCCCCATAGGGGCAGCTGAAGACAGGGGGGATCCGGATAGGGGTTTGGGGGTGTCGCAGACCCCCTCCCCAGCCGGCAAAACCCCCTTTTCCCAAGGCGGAGGAGTGGCGGTCAGTAATGGCCGCCACGAAGAAACCTGCAGCCGGACAAGATTGTGCAGGAGGAAGAAAGTCGGAAGAGCTGTGAAAGTGGTTTTTGACCGGGATAAAGTAAAAGAAAGTACCCTGGAATTTGAAAGCTGCCAAAGATAAATTGTTTCCAGAGAGAGTTACAAGCGGCGAATGGAATTCTAAAAGGGAAAGTTTTTTTCTTTTCTTTCTTTTCATTCTCCTTCCTAACGTGACAGCGGATGGAACTATAAGAGAAATCAGAAAACCTGCATTGGAGGTAATTAAATGCTGAAGGGATAAGGATTTCTGAACGTTTCTTTTAAAAAAAATCTTTTTGCTGTGAGTGGGAAGGGAGAGGAAAAAAAATTGGAGCAAAGTTTGAAAATAAGGAGAAGATTGCCTAGTATTTTAAAGAGTTATTAAACATCAATAAGACTTCTAAAAGATACATTTTAAATGAAACTTTGTGACTAAACATTAACCCCAGAAAGAGAAAGTGAAGAAGGAGAAAGTACTTAAAAGAAACAGCTTATTTGGATTGCTTGGTGATTTTGGAGCTTCTGAACTATCTTTGATTAAAAGCACTTGGGTGGTTGTTTGGAAAAACCTTTTCTCTCTATAATGGCATCACTTGTGGATGGATTGAAACTTGAATACCAAAAATATAAAAAGGAAGAGCAAGAAGGGAAGGATTCTCTTGGCACTCTTTTTCAATTTCTAGAAATGACGGTTTGTACTTATGAAAAGCTGACTGCGCAACAGGATGACTGGGATAAAGAAGAAGCCATTTTTGATGAACAAGTGACTTTAGTTGGGGAAGAAAAGGAGAAAGAGAAAAAAGGAAAAGAGGACTTTAAGATTTGGAAAAACAACCAAAAAAGAGAAGAATAAGGTGAAAAGTGGATACTATGTTAGAAAATAACAGAAAGGAGGAAAGCAGAACAAAAGGGAGGTGGAGAAACACAAGGGTAAAGAGGGCAAGGAGAAGAATAAGCAAGGGAGAACGAGAAGCCTCAATGGTGGGGAGCAAGATGCAAAGAAACAAAAGTCTTTTAGAGATAATGGGTAAACTTTATTGAAAAAGGGATTCTGGAAAGGTACATAAGATTGTATTTTTATATCTGTACTTAGAAATAATCTTAGAAAATTGGAAATAATAAGTAATTTAAAATCTGATAAAATGTTTAGTAAATAAATGGGAGAATTGTACTAGGAGAAGGGGGAACATTTTAACGAAACAATGATATAAAATATGTGATGTGGGGGGGGGGGGGAAATAACTATGGAAAGCATGAGTGTTCCCATAAAGGCATTATATTTAATTGAAATGGGTAAAATGTTTAAGAAGATTAATGATTAGATGGTGTTATCCCAGTGAAATTTTTTGTGAAATGAGAGATTTGAAGTAGGAGAAGGGGGAACATTCTAATGAAATAATGATTTAAAATATGTGATGTGGGGGGGAAATAACTATGGAAAATTGGTCCTCATAAAAGTATGATATTCAATTGAAAAGTAATGTGTTAAGTGTTTAAGATATAAATGAATATTAATACTAATGAATAGATTTGTATTGGCATTGTAATATTGTATAATTTTAGAATGTACCAAACAGAATCCCAATGTAAGTTATGTATTTTATATTAAGTATTATAAATGTAGGGGAAAGAGACAAAGGCGTCATACTCCAATTAGTGTACAGGAGAAGTTTTGTTTAAAGAAGAAAGATAAATGGATAAAACAGAACAGACAAAGAATAATAAATATTATGATTTGAATTGAGATGAGATAAATAAAATAAAACTAAGAAAATTTAAAAGAGATGAGAAGCTATATAGAAAATTGAAAATGGTAATAAGATATGGAATGGTATACAAAATGAATATGAATTTGAATTTGTGTCTGTACGAAGAATTGTAACCCGGGACTAAGCAACTTTCAGAAAAGATGTTTTTTATGTTTTTATGTTTTGTGTTTTTGTGTGTTTATGTTTGATTGAGCTAATAAAACCTTGGAGGAATGTTAGAAGAGGACAACTGAGAATAAAAGATAGAAGAGAATAAAGCAAGTCAGAAGGAAAAGTAGGTATAGTGAATAAAAACATATAAAATAGATAAATATAGAAAAGAAATATAATTGAATAAAAGTAAAGGGAGAAATAATGAGAAACTTGAAAGGATATGTATGTGTTTATAAGGAGATGTGCCAATGGTGTATAAAATGTTTTATTTGTTTTGTTAAAATTTACAAATAACTTTCAGAAAAGAGGTTTTATGTTCTTATGTTTCATGTTTTGTATGTCTTTAAAAATTAATAAAATTTGTTCAAAAAAAAAAAAAAAGGAACACGTAAAGGGCAGTGAGGACTCGTGAGTGAGCCAACATACAGTAGAACCTCTGATCATGACCATAATTCGTTCCATAACTTTGGTCGCAACCCGATTTGGTTGTGACCTGAACCCAATTTTGGAAATTTGGCGCTTACAAAAAAAAAAAATGGTGCAAAAGGGGAAATCAGCCGTGAAAAAAGAAAGTGATTTTTTTGGTTGGAACCCAATTTGATCATGATCAGAAGCATTCATGACCAGAGGTTCTACTATATTTTAGATATAAGTGTAGCAGTGACCAGGGGGACAAAAGGGTAGCAGTTTTTATCTACTGTCCTAACTGCATTGACTGGTATGTTTCTGTCCACTGATAAATTCCTGCCTGTATACCAGGACCAGGTGGTTCTCCCTTCCATCCACCCTCACTTATGGAACTAGAGGGATTCCCCTGTGACCTCTGCATTATGAAACACAAAAAAAAGATTCTCGTCTCTGTAGGGCTATAAGAAGTTATATGCACGAGTTTAAGTGAGAAAATTAAAAAGGCACATCAACCACAGTGCAGGAAACCACATGCAGCAAATAATGTGTACTCCAAAATGTATTAGTTCTATCTACTATTCTGCCTTTTATATTTTCTTTTATTGCAGGATTTCAAGGTAACACAGCCAGATCACTTTTACTTTTGTTACTATAACTCTTTTGGCTAAGCTTTTCCTCTTTTTTATCCTACTTTCAAATTTCTGATTGAGGAACCTGCATTTTGTAAGACACATTGTGAATTTTGCAACACACCATAGTCTTATATTTTTTCTCAAGTAAGAAAAACACAAGGGATTTCTTGGGATTTAGGAAGAAAGCAAAGGCTCTTCACAACTGACAAAAATGCTGAGAACTAAAGACATGTATGCATACCTGCAAAGAGCACCTCTCCACAACGGATGGGTTTGCGTGGTCGAGTTCTAGGACCCTGCATCAGTGGTCGTTCTTGGGGCAACAGCAGGTAGTTCTTAGCTTCATCTACTAAATCCCTACAAATAAATTAAAACACAACCCAAGGAAAAATTAGTACAGCTAATCTGAAATATAATTATTAATATTGATGGTATTGCTTTATATTGAAAGATGGAGCACAGCACTTTGCCAGCTGAGTATTTTTCAAGCTTTACATTCTGAAAAGTTTTCCTTTTTACATTTACTGTCTGAAAATGTTAGTTTTCTTGAAGAAACACCATGCCAGTTTTTACTGATCTTCTCAGTGTACAAGAAATGCATACTTTGGTCTACATATGTACAGTATTTGTTGATAGAAAAGATGTCAAAGATGTTTTTCTAATAAGCAAGTCTTAAGAAAGAAAACATTAAAAAGTGCTATAGACTCATAGTAATTTTTAACAGAACAACTTCACAATTTTATATTAGGATATTTGTTAGTAAAGACTTACCTACATTCTTCATCACTTTTAATGAGGGGATCAGAACCAACTGTGCCCACCAAAAACTTTGGACTAAGCAGTGGCAAGCGGACATGTTGCAAAACCTGTCAATCAACAACAATGGATTAAAAATTTGATGCTCTCCTACTCGGGCAGACTTAGCAAGCTCCAATGATCAAATTAAGTGTGGACTCAGAGCTTTGGGTATCGCCTCATAGAGAATAAGGCTGAATGAATTGCTATTTCACATTCTGCTACATTATCAAACAAACTACTCTTTTTTTTGTTCATATTAACAAACAACACTGTAAATAAGTAATAAAGAAATGTATATCCTGCAAAATAGCACATTTGCATATGTGCAATCATGTAAGAAATGTATTTGGGATGTACTTGAGGAAGCTGCGGGCGCCTTTCTTGAATGCTGTATTTGACCCAAGCCATGACTGCGTTGAAGACTTGTTCTTCGCTCCGGACATTGAGTTCATCACTGGAAATGATGTCAATAAGCTGATTGGCTGGAAGCAGCATGAATTCTTCACTTTCCATCACCTATAATAAGATTTTAAAATAAGCAGAGCCATTTCAAAATGGAGAAGTTCTGTTGAAAAAATATTTCGACACCTTTTGCTTTTGCATATTTCATCTTAAGCATTTCATAATATATCTAAAGCACCATTTTACATACAATAAATTTTATATAACAAATATTATTTACATTAATTAAGCCATCAATATAAATTATCTAAGTTCAAAATCAGTATGGGTCATTAAGCAGAATCATTTGCTTTGATTCCAGAAGCATTAATTAAGATGTTTGCCAACTATGTGTTAAGAGTGGCCTTTGCAGAGTTGTCCTTATAGGTCTTGATTTCTCCATTTGTAATCAGGAAATAATGGCAACCCAAAATGCTATTGAGAGAATAAATCATTTCAATAAAGCAGTTATATTTGTAATATGGACAAAAAAAGTACAGAGAGCCTAAAACAAAATTAAATTACCCAATGTACTGTAGGAAGGTGTAAAAAAAAGCTTCTGTCAGAGTGCCTCAGGGTTACAAGACAGACTCACTTTATCCCACCTCCTTTTCATTTGCTTTCTCTAAATATACACACAGGAGCTGTGTACCTCAGAGGGATTCAGACTGCAAAAGCTGCCAAGCACTAAAGTGGTGCAAAATACAAGCTTCTGACAAACTGCAAACATGTACAAATGCATTCCCTCTCTAGGCCCTCAGTGGAAAACAACTTTTTCCAAAGATAGAAGAGAATCCATAACATTTCTATTATATACAGAACGAAGAAAAATATATTATTTTGCCCCACTGGAATCAGGTCAATTGAAGGAACTTTCTGAAATCTCTTTTTTGGTCTGCTTTTCAGAAAGAGCAGTACAAAATATAACAATTGTACAAAACTTTACACCCTCTAATCCCCAGGCCCCCAGGCAGGTAGGATAAAATCACTTAACATAAGAACTATAATAGTTTTAAAAATAAAACCATCTCTAGAGTTTTACTGAGGAGAAGATCGAGATTGCCTTGCTCTCTTCCATAAGCTGAATGCATTTAGCAAATGGGGAAGTCCTTACTTTATCTTTTTAAAAGATCCAGCTGACCTTATAACACAGAAATTCCATAGGGTTTTTTAAAACCAAATAATACATTGTATTCTAATTATGTTCTAATTGTAATTGTGAACATTTTAGGATTTCTTGGTGAAGGGTAATATGTAAACAACCTAAATAAATAATAAAACATTCGAGTAGATAGCTTTTTCTGCAACTGTGGCTGCAAAGTATCATTCATTGGAGTTGTTTTAATAGAGGCTGGACAATCAATTGTTGGGAATGCCAGGATCGCAACTTCTGGACAAGATTATTTCCAATATCCCTTCCTTTACATTCTATGATTCAATTCCTTTTATAAAGTTCTATTGTTTACTAAGCATATTATAGATTTCAAATCAGTTTAAGACTTTTGTTAACATTTTTTTCAAGTATCTCTTTTTCTCATATAATAAATACATCAGAGTTGAAACAAAAATAATTTTTTATTTGAACACCATATGACTTGTAAAAGTAGTGTCCCTGCCCATTCATCAGTACTTGCAGGGTCACAATTACATTTGGCTGACGGGGTCCCAGTTATACCTGTATTTTATACATGGATATAATCTTTTCCCAATGAGCTAATCTAAACAAGAAGATAAATTATTTTATAAAGATTATGGATATTTCCATTATTCACTTCATAGATCACCACATATCAAGCTGCATTTAACTATGTATAGGAAATGCACTGTGAAAAGTAATCCATGCTCAATTAATTTATTTATTAATAACAAATGATTATTAATAATTAACATAAATTCTTTTAGAATTATAAAATAGTATAAAATAAAAATTTTTATTAAAAAAATCATAAAATAACAATTACCAATGCTGAAATTCAGCTACATATGGCCCCAGACCAATGTTCTGGGTTGTTTCCTTTATGGTTGTAAAATTATTGTTCAAAGAATATTATTTTCACTTAGTAGTAGTAGTATTAATTTCCATCAAAATACAATATTATAGCAAGTGTTTTTTCTGTACTCAGTGTAGCACTCTATCAACCAATTCTACATAACTCTCTTTCTCAAGTTAATAAAAATTGAGGAAGTCCCCCAAATGAAAAATCTATAATTGTTCTCAGTCAAGATACATTTGTTCTGCTCCAAAATATTTATGATATTTATAGTGAGCAATATCAAAAAGAAAAACAGGTTACCATAATATGAGAATGTTTAAAATTTTTAGACTTGCAAGATGCATGTAGTTTTAAGGATTGGTCTATGCAAAATAGTATATACAATTTAAATTAAGAAAAAATTACGATACAAAGTCATCTACCCCTATTATGTCACACTCATTTTGAGTAATTATCACATTTTCTTTCAATTAAAGTAAAAAAAGTTCAAACATTAGATTCAACAAATAAAATACAGCGAAATGTTTTGAAATAAATGAGGAAAACAAATTTCAGTGTTCACCCATAATAAAATAATACAACTGTATTACAGATTAAGTAGCTAAAAATAAAGAACATAAGGAAAAAATAAAGGAATCCACAGAATCCCTACATGAAAAACCTTTGCTAACAGTATGCGGAATAAAGATTTTTTAGCTCATGTCTATTTTTGCTAGATGAAACTTGTAATTGAAGAGAAGTTGGTTTTGCTTTGTTTTCTTCTAATGCTGAAGACTGTTCAAAAAACAATGAACCTTCACCTACTTCGGTACAGTTCATGTTGCCACTTACTTTCAATGCATATATTGAACAGATTTTAACTATAGGGTTACTCACCTCTTGAAAATTATGCTGAGTGAATTTATCAGCAATTCTAAGAAGTTCACGGCAAGAATGAGTATCAGCAAATGCTCGAATGCCAAGGCAATTGGAAGGATCCAACTGTCTTTTCAGAAACTCACAGCAGGCTTCTTGGATCTCAGCTAGTTGGAGAAGGCAAGCAGCTGGCAGTAAGGTCTGAACATTGCCCTCTTCTACTGTAATTTGGGAAGTATATGCAAAGTCAATAAGTAGTTCCATGGCCCTTTCATCAATGTCTCTGATCACCACCTCAGTCTGCCGGCTTTCTGCAAGTTCTCCTGTGAACATTGCTCGGAAGTAGGGGCTGCAGGCTGATAGGATGACTCGATGGGCATAGATTTTTTTGGCCCCCACAACCAGCACCACATCACACAGCTCCCGGTGCTTACGCAACAAATTGATAACCTCCAATGTTTGGCGAGGGTGCTTGTCTGAGATGTAAGGCATGCGAGCAGGTTGTGGCACTCCTTCTGGTAGTTTGTTGGGATCTCCAAGAGTGCAACGGCTTGTTACATCCATTCCGGTTTCACCTGCTCGATTACTTGTACACCTAATAAAGTAACAAAGAAGTGAGACCACTGGATAGAAAACATTACACCAAAACATGAAGTGGACAAGAATTTATTAAATTATAAAGGAAAGAAAAGTGTCATAAGAAACTTCATCCTGACATGTTTTTGATAGAAGTAATTCAACAATGAAAAAACAGTAATGTAGCTATTTATAGACCTCTTTATTAAAAGGGAAAGTGGACCTATTGTAGCTGGAAACAAAATGGATGTAATACCAGATTTTCTTGTAGAATCCAAAGAGCCAAAGCTATGTGAAAACATTAAAAAGCCAAACAGAAACTATGAACAATTTGGGCTATCAGAGTTCTTTCTTTTTAAAAAAGCTTCTAGTTTTTTTCAAGACATTCAAACTTCAAAAAATATATTTATAATTAGGATGAGATGTATATTTTAATTATCCAATTTCCTTGATTTTTAACATAGAATCCAATGCAATGGGAGGGAATCTGGGGACTGTTTTATAGTTACTTCACATTATTTCCAATACTTGTAGAATTACTTGAAAATACGATACACTGATATTAATAGGATATAATATTGTTCAACTTTATGTACTATATCTTAACATGTCAGAAAGTGCTTGAGTTGTCATCATCAAATTGAGCAGACGATAAACTGCTGTTTGATGGATGCTTAGATTTCAATTAAAATATTTGTTTTCTGACTTGTTTGTTTATAATTTGAAAAAATAGAATTTGATTTTAAAAAATCTATTCATAACATCTCAAGTTAGAAAAAGAATAAGAAACAATATAAAACCAAAGTGGATCCATGGGATGTTTGCAATTTATAAAATGGTCAAAAAAAGAAACTAGTACAATGAGCATCCTTCCTCAAAAAGGAAAGTGGCACAGTTTTAATGGGCTCTCTAAATTTTCTGTAAAAAGAGAAGTAAATTTTTCCTGAACGCCCTATATAAATCACAGTACAAAAAGACATGGGTAAGGGAAAAGAAGTCAAGATGTATCCATGGTTTATTTAACAATACATAGTGGCAATGTTTACAGGCATCCGAAAGCCAAATATATTGCAGCTTTGTTCAATGTGTGACCCTGACACTTGGTATTTCTGATACCAGAAGTCAAAGTTCTTTTAAGTCAAATATTGTTGAATCAGCCACCCAGAAGGTAAATCAGGTGAGCTTTATTTAAATGTTTACTATATCTTATCCATTATCCTATTTTAGATAGCTGTTGCATATTCAAGTTTTAATCTCAGTAACTTAGATCAGATTACTAATTAAATGATGGTGATTATTGTACATGAAGGCATGTAAATAGCTGTTAAGTTAAACCAATTATTATGCAGATACATAGGTAAGAATTAGTAAAGACCAACCTTTAAAGCAAACCTCATGGATATTTCCCAGTATAATTTCTCATTGTATTCTTCCAGCATTTTAGTTCCCAATCTAGTTTACAGTCCAGGAATTCCCAGATGATCTCCCATCCGAGTACTAACCAGGCCTAACTTAATAGGTTCCAAGACCAAACAAGATTGACCAAATGCTGCCAATTATTAAATGACACAGATGCAAAATTTAAATTTAGAGGATGCACAGAAGCATTTAAATGGGGATAGGCAACTTAATAATGCTTCTGCAGTCTCAAAAGTCATGACCAACTGTGAAAGATACTGGCAGCTGTGATTCAAAAGCCATGAGAAGTTAGTTGTAGATCACTCATTTCTGCATCATTCTGTCTTTCCAAAATGCAGTGGCAACTGTAGTAGACCACTGTTCTCAGAGGAAAAGAGGACAAATGAAAAGCTTTAAAGTACTGTTGTCTAATAGATACAGATTAACAGAATTGGAAGGTACATTGTAGGTCATCTAGTCCAACCCTGATCTAGATTCTGTACATTGATTATAAAACATAATTTAGTATGATGTCACAATTCAATCTATTTTAATTACCTGCGCATTGGTTTTGTGTCCATGCACTGCAAAGAGAAGTCTTTAAATTATTGCTGACCCTGGGCAAAGAATAAAAACAAAACTATGTAACAAAAAGACAACTAAAATAGTTTGTTATGTATTTAAGAACTGATCAGATTTAAATTCTAAAATAAGTATTAACAATTTCCACCTATTCGTATTTTTTCGCAACTGATTCTGCCACTACTGCAACCATACTAAATCTATTTAATTCTAGCTTTATCTTATATAAGCATAATTTAATCTGATGAACAGACACTGGACTGTGCATAAACAACTGGGCTTTAGCACTGTATTCTAAAATAAAAATGTATACTTATTCCAACATATAAAACAAATATTTGTTCAGTTGTCATTATATGGATAAATCTGAAATTAAAAAGCAAGATTAATCACTCACCCTGTGATAAAACAGGTACAACAGAAGCCTAATAATAAATAATCCTTGCCTTCAACTCATTTTATCCACTGAAAACAGCAAGTTTGATGACTTTATCATCCAGATGCCTATAAATAAATTGCAAAGAATGTGAAATGGTTCCTCTAAAAAACCCATCATTGTTCTTGCCATCCGCATTGAAATAAATATTTGTTCACCTGGAATAGTTTAGATACCACATAACACTTCCAAAAGATTAGTTTCAGAGAGCAAAGCACATACAAGGGCTATCTAAATCAGTGAATATAACAGACTGGACATTGGATAAAAAAGGCAGATGTATTTACCAACTCAAAATGAATGCTTCTTAAAGCCTGCTTTTGATCCAAAAGATCTGTTATGACAGTTGGGAGTCTCTCTGCCAGATATTGTTCATGCAATTACATTCATTCCCTCCCCCACAATCCCTCCCCAGCAAGTTAGGCACTTGTCCAGTATTCCTTCTTGTATTTCATTGGAAGTTCATTCACTTAACTTTTTCCATCCCCTCAACAAGACCTTTAAAAAGATATGGGGCGTGGCCATTATCTTCACATGGTTGGCGAAGGCGTAAGTATGGAGCTCTACTGATGATAGCTAATAAATTACAGGAGCGAAGCAGAGATTTCCTTTTCAAAGTGGTATGCAACCAATACTGTTTCCCCGGAAAGTGATCAACTACTACACGATTTATTTAATAAATTTAAACACCACTATCCCGGAGATCTCCTGATCCTGCTTGAGGTACCTTGAAAAAAGGCAGCTATCCGGGGGAAAACAACTGTACATGACGTGGATCTGATTTATTTTTGCTGGGTGTTTCTAATGTTAAATTTCAGCATGCCCTTCAGCCCAGGGTCTCGCCCCATCTTTTCTCCCCAATGATTCTTTTACAGCCTCCCCAAAGCACAAGCACGGCCAACCCTGGAAACTGACCTCCCGGGTGGAAGATAATGGAGCTTATTCTGAATTCCAGCGCCAGCAAGCCCAGAAGCCGTTGCAAGGAAATGCCATGTATCGGCAGGGACTCCGCACAGTATCTTTTGTAGTGGGTGGGAGGAACGCAGGACCTTCCCGACCACCACAGCCGCAATCATTCCCACAGTTCTCACTGGTGCCGGAAACTGTCTCTAGGCAGCACTCCACCCCACCAGATTTCACCCGCCGGAAGTAATCCTACAGCCTTAGTGTTCCGTGTAAGTACTTCAAGTGTCGGTTTAAGCGTTCCGGCCACAATCACGCTGAGGGGTTTCTATGGCAACGGGGTTATTGCTTTTTTTTTTTTTTTTTTTGGTGCCCTGTTCAGCAGCCCGGAAGTATCGGGGGACTCGGGAACCTCAGCGAGGTTCAGATGCTAATGTTGGTAAAGGTCATGTCCATTCACGCCATCGTTTTTGATCCAGTTTTTGTTTCACTGATGAGTGTACTGTATATATAATGATTCTGTACTCTATAATTTCAAAAATACGGTTGAAAATAATGTTGACTAGAAAAAAACAAAACAATCCGGTGAAGAGTATACTGATCTAACTGTTCTGGAAATGTTTTGGATAAAAAGATGAAGTTTTTTTGTAGATGGAAATGATACTTTGAATCTGTACAAACCACACTCCATTCTGTTCTTTAAAATATTTCTTTCTTTTTTTAAAAAAAAATTAAGCTAATCTTGTGAAGATGGAACCCTTGGAAGAAATAGTGGCTTCAACAACAACAAATGAGAATGGGGATTTGGGACCGCAAGAAGAACCAGCAAATCCTCTCCTGAGGGCTGCTTTAAGGGGTGATATGGAAGAAGTACAACAGATTTTTGAGGACTTGGAGGATCCTGATCATGAAAAAGCAAATAAGTTTTTAATGGAAAAGGATCTTCTAGGGAGAAACTTACTATTTGCAACTTGTATGGTTGGTCAGAATGACATTATCCAATCCCTGGCAAAATATGGAGTTGACCTGAAGGATAAGACAGTCAGAGGTACATAATGGTCTAGATATTTTGAATTAAGCATCACTAAGATTCTAGGAAAAGATCCTTTTAAGAATTATGTCAGTTTATATTTTGAATTTGAAAACTGACTTAGTGCTTATAGTTATCTTTTCAGTTAGAGCTTTCTGAACTAAGCCTTTATTCAACTCATTATTCTTTCCTCCTCCTCCCCCCCCCCTTTTATTCACTCATGTCTAATTCTGGGAGAGTGCCTGGATCAGTCCCTGCAGTTTTGTTGGCAACGCTTTTTTTAAAATTGTTTTGCCATTGCCTTCTTCCTAGGACTGAGAGAAATGGACTACAGGTAGTTCTTGACAACCCTTAAAAATTAGGATGGTGCTGACAAAAGTGACTTTTGACATCCCCATGGTCGTGTGTTCAAAATTCAGGTTCTTGGCAACCGACACGTATTTATGATTTTGTACATTCTAGTAACAATTATGGTTGTAAGTCAGGGACTATTTATAGCACAATTCACCCAATTGGCTTTGTGCCTAAGGTGGGACTAGAACTTACAGTTTCCCAGTTTCTAACCTTATGCTTTAACCAGATTGGCTCTCTTTCATTCTCTATTTTTATCTACTGGTAATTCCAGCTTAACCACAATTTTCACTTGTGTTGTACTTTTTTCTCCCACATAGATTCTCAAACCTTCACCACAGAATTTGCATGTAGTCATCTTTAATTCCTGGTTTGGGAAATGCTAACTCTCTTTTTCTTTCCTTGGCTTTGACTCTACCATTTCTTTTTTTTTTTTGTATATATAAAGTTTTATTAAGGTTTATTACAGTATAAAATATAATGGAAGTCTTTAACCTTAAAGGAAAAATCATTTTATTCATTTTAAGACTATAAACGTTTCTTTAAATATCTTATATTTAGATATAAATATCAATATTTACAGTAGTTATGAGATATATTTATATTTATAACTAAAATCAATTTTATGTAGTTTTGTGGAGAGGAGATGGTTTGTAGTCTCTGTCTGGCATAATTACCTCCTATGTTGCTTCCTTCTGTTCTTTACCTTTCTTTTGTGATCAAAGAATATTTTTTTTAAAAAGAAGCTTTTTGTAGGTCAACTGGTATCTCTTGGCCAATTCATTAAGACTGGAAGATTTCAGCCTCCCCAACAAGCAGTCCAAAAATGTAAATTATAAATTTCAATGTCAAATAAAGTGGCAAATTCATAAAAATGATGACATAAGACCATAATTTTTTAAAGTTTAAAGTTTAAATTTTTTATGTTTTTCCAAGAAAAAAGTACTTCCTTATTTTAGCTCACCTCTGGCAACCCTCCTCCTTGCCATTCAACATCAACAATAATGATATCCCCCAAATGGTTAGCTCTTCAAAAAGGAGTAACAAGCTGTTTCTGAAAAGAGCCTGCTTTTACTTTTAATAATAATAAAAAAGTGTTTAAGAAATGAAAAGCATGACTCCTTGTCTGTAAAACAAATACCAAAATGGCAGCTTTTTCATCAACAAAGTGATTTTGACCCACCTTTTAGCTTATGGACTTCTCACCTGGCTACCTGGGTGTGCTGCTCCAGTTTCTTTTCGAACTGCTGATGCATGAAGGATGTATGGGGTGATTCTGGGACTTTCTCTAACTCAGAAGAGTCATATAAAGTTAGGGAACTTGGTGCCCTTGTCTGTAAATTGAAAAAGCTTCAGTCCAGAAGGAGCATTCCAGACTGGTGAGTCTTCACTGGAAGTCTGAATATACCATTTCTGTAGCTCCATGATCATCCTAGAAACTGCCAGAATTCCCAGCCAGCATTTGCTTGGCTTCTTTCTCTCCACAGTCCATTAATTCATTAGCTCCCCTATAATGTTTCCACTGAGCAACTTCTTCAACCTAATTTTTCTGTCTAAAATACTTGTTTCTTCACTTTATTATTATTTTTTTATAAATTTTATTTGAGTTTTCACAAAAAGAAAGAAATACAAATAAAACATCTTTTTTGAAAGCAGCATAATCCCGGGTTACATTTCTTTGTACAGACGCAAATTCAGGTTCATGCTCATTTTTATATTCTATTCCATATCTTATTACTATTTTACATTTTCTACATGGCTTCTCCCCTCTTTTAATTTTCTCAATTTTATTTTATTTATTTCATCTCAATTCAAATCATTATATTTATATTTTTTGTCTGTCCTGTTTCAATTGTCTATTATCTTTTCTCATTAAACAAAATTTCTCCTGTAGTTACTGATTGGAGTATGACGCCTTTATATCTTTCCCCTAAAGTTATAACACTCAATATAATACATAACTTCTATTCGGATTCTGCCTGGTACATTCTTAAACTATACACAGTATTCTTGATTTTTTTTTTTATAAATGTATATAATTAGAACAACATTCCATTCCAATTCAATTCTATCATTAATATTAATATTCATTAAAGTCTTAACATTTTTCACATTACTTTTCAATTAAATATCATACTTCTATGGAAACAATTATAAACTTTCCATAGTTAAATCCCCCCCCCCCGTCTTCACTTATATTTTATAAAACATTGACTAATTAAAATGTTCCCGTTCCTTCCTAATTCAATTTTCTCATTTATTTTATTTCATTTACTTTATTCACAAACATTTCACTAAATTACACTAACTTTTATCCCTCATTCTAATCATATGTTGTTTCCAATTTTCTAAAATTATTTCTATTACAAATATAACAATACAATCTTATGTACCTTTACAGAATCCCTTTTTCAGTTAGATTTTCACCCATTATCTCTAAATAGGTCCTGTTTCTTTATATCTTGCTCCAGACCTTTGTAACTTCTTTTCCTTTCCTTCTTCCCTCTCTTCTTCTCTCTCCCCTTTTTACCCCTTTGTCTCTCTACCTCTATTTCCCTCTTCTGTATTCCCCTTTTCTGTTGCTTTTATACTTATGTATTATTTTTATACTTATGTATTATACTTATTTTTTGAATTATTTTTCTTTTCTTTGGTTGTTTTTTTAAGTCTTAAATTCTCCATCCTCTTTCCCCCCTTTCCTTTTTCTTCCCCACATAGAGTTACTTGTTCATTAAAGATGGCTTCTTCTTTGTCCCAGTCTTCTTGTTTTGCAGTCTTTTCTTGTTGTTTCTCATAGTTCCAGATCTCCATTTCTAAGAATTGAAAAACGAAGCCAAAAGAACCCTTCCCTTCTTGTGCATCTTCTTTGTACTTTTTAAGTTCCATGTTCAATTCATCCAAAAGTGATGCCATTGTAGAAATTTTTAGACAACCACCCGATTGATTTTAGTCATTCAAATATAATAACCAAAAATCCAAAAGTCACCAAGTAATCCAAATACACGCAAGCTGTTTCTTTTTTGCTCTTTCTTTTTTTTCCCACTTTCTCTTCCTGGGGTTACTATTTAGTTGTAAAGTTTCAGTTAAAATGTATCTTTTAGAAGTCTTATTGAAATTTTACTTTGGATTCTTTTAAAGTCCAGACAGTCTCCTCCCTCTTCCAGATCCTGCCCTTATTCTTTTTCTCTCCCTTCCTGCTTATAGAAGAAAAAGTTTTTAATGTCCAGAAATCTTTATTGTCCCTTTGGCATTTAGTTATATTTTCAGCTTAATTGCCTATTGATGCCAAAGCGGATTTTTTCAATTTCTTATTTAGGTCTCTTAGTTGTCAATATAAGGAAGGAGAGAGAAGAAAAAAAAAAGCCAAACCTTTCCCTTTTCACTTTTTTTCGCTGCTTCCGACTCTTCTTTGGGAGCGATGTTATTTCTTATAAAATTTAAATTCCAGGGTACCTTAGTTATTGCTTTTTCAACTTAGCCCGGTCAGCCAAAACTTTCATTTCTTATCTTCCTCCTGCATGTTCTTTTCCGGTTGAGTTCTTCTTTGAGGTGGCTATTTCTGACCACCGCTCCTACCACCTTCAGGAAAGGGAGTAATGGCCAGCTGAGGAGGAGAGATGCGGCTCTCCTCGACCCTGCTGGCGGTCTCCCCCCTCTTCACTACCTCTACGGGGTGGCTTAGCCCCGAAACCAGCCGGCTCGGGGCACTCCAGCGGCGAGCCCGGGCAGAAACCGCACACGATCGCGGATTCCTGTCTGTCGCTGAAGCCCTTCAAACCACGTTTCTTCACTTTATTAAAGTCTATGTACCATTCTGAAAATGTTAT